TTTTTTTTTTAATTATTATTATTTTATTCTTTTTTATTGCTCGAACAATATTACAATTACACCGCAATTACAAAGCAGTTTATGCAGTAGAATCGACGCATTACCTGTAACAAACTCACATTACCCTACTTACACAAAAAAAACACTAACTTACAACCTTGACTTACATTGACATACATTATTTACATACGCTTCTTACGTTGATAATAATTTCTTTTTTTACTAATCAGACACTGTAGAACATAGTACAAGTTCACTAATTTCAATACGATAATTAACACTAAAAACCAAACGAAGAGGTCCCTCTCATGTCATTTTTAATGTATTACGTGTTTACTTCAGACAAAATCAAGGTCATGAGAACCGGAAGTGAAGCTGCGTTTAGCATTTGACCGCTGTGTGAACCGCAATTACTCGAACAGTGTTCATTCCCTTCTGGTTTGCCCTTAAGTTGACCTACTGTTTTTATTACTCGGTGGTCTGCAATGTGCAACACCCTTGCAACTTGTCACGAGGCTAAACTCAAGTCTGTTTCTATCATTACAGTAAGGGCTTCAACTCAAGTATCTGTATTAGAATGCGCTGACGTTCTCGCGGCGGAGGTGTCCCCCCGGTATAGCCCAACATCACTACAAGCTGTTTTTAGCTCTCAAGCCATGGATAGAGCTGAACAAGTGACAGAATCATTGGTCGAAGAGGGACGATTGCCAGCCAAGAAAGGTACAGTGAATACCCAATTTTCGAACTTCCCTATCTTTATTTGAAGCAGTTTTTTTGTACCCTTTGCATAAATATTTGAGGTATTTTTTCTCGCTTTTTCGAACCCAATTCCGCATCCCTTGGTGATTCGAAAAATCGGGATTTCAACGTATTGCACAATGGTGTACACGATATGGTCGAATAGTCTAAGGAAGAATTTGAGTGCAAGAAAATACTGTTACTAATATACTTACTCGCGGTTTAGTTATTCTTAAACAGCTTTTGCAGTGGAAAGGGTGTGTTAATGGAATTTACTCAATAATGTCCCGTGTGCACTTTTAACGTTTTGAAAAACACCAGGACGTTAACTTCAGCGAATATACTTTTTGTCTATATTCGATTTTTATAGCAATCTAAGCTGTAAAGTTAAGTTTAGAAGAAGACGTGATTTGACAGTCTACACTATCATTGTCAATCACAGTTATTTTGTAACTGACCGCGACAGTGAAAGCTGTCGAAACGTGTCTCCTTCTTGTAAACCCAGAAGTGTCGTGTTCTTTTTATAACGTTTCACTTGCCTTGTTCTATCAAGACCTTCTGGAAATCCAAATTGTGAAACGAACGTAGTAGTATGTTCTTCTCTGATCCTTGCAAATTTGGGGACGGTGAAGGACTTAATCATTACTGTTTCAATCAGTGTCAATCATTGCTTTGTTATTTCTCTTTGCTATAGCGGAAACAAAGGAGAGCGAGTGCAGCAGGGTAGGCTCAATGCGTACATCCTTAAGAACGAAGAGGAGCAAGAAGAAGATGGTGAAAGAAGAAGACGACGATGAAGGAGAAGGAGAAGAAGAAGAAATAACTTTACGTGCGCTCAGCGGAAAAACCTTGATGAATGTCGGCGAAGACATGGAGGTGCAAGAGGTATCAAGACCATCCAAACAAACAAAAAAAAAAAAAGCTGCATCACTGTCATTCTTTAAATCAACGGCTGTGTTTGGCGCTCCTGCTACCTTTAAAGGATCTCTGTCTGGCTCCGCTGCAGAGGAAGCATCAACTGTGGGTTCTTTGTTTGGCCAGCCGCAAAAACCAATCTTTACAGATGCAGCATCTCCCTCCAGTGGGAATTTGTTTGACAACCCTCTACCAAAGTCATTGGCAGCAACGGGATTTTCTTTTGGCCAATCAGAGAAACCTGGAATGCTTGGTGCAGGGCCACATCCTTTTGCAATTGGGGGAGGTGTATTTCCACGCGGGTCGCAGGCTGCATTCAGTGTTCAAGCTCCCTCTGGAGGATCTGTCTTTGGCTCCTTTCCAGAGCAAGCCGTACCACGAGCTTCTTTGCTCGGGCACTTACAACAAACGGAGTCAAAACCTACACCAACCACCACAACTGGAACATTGTTTGGTTCTGCTCTGCCGCCAAGCCCAGCGATGCTTACGACAGGAATGGAAGCGTGTTTTTTTCCTTCTGCTCAATCACAGAAAGCTGGGATGTTTGGTTCAGAACCCCATCCGAAGACTGCGGAGGCTGGAGAATATTTGCTTGGCTCATCTAGGCCAACAGCACCTCCGGGATCTTTGTTTGGCCAGACACAACAAACACAATTAAAAACTGCAGAACCCCGCTTCACTGGAGGATCGTTTGGGTTTGGTATGGTGCAACAAGCAATGCCCAAACCGGCAGCGCACTCAAAAGGAATGGCAGGTTTTACGTTTGGCCAGTCGCAGCAAACTGGAATGGCTTTTGGTTCAGTTAAGCAGTCCGTTTTAGGAGGAGGATTGTTCGGCAAGCCGTTGCGGCCGACAGAGTCCAAGCCCCTAAGCTTAGACAGATCACGATCCAAAGCTGAGGATGAGACAGGTCTTCTTGTCACAGATGGATTTGCCAACTTTTCTTCGAGAACTAATCGATTGCAAGATATGATACCACCAACAGAAGACGAAGCAATGCTTAAAACACAAACAAACAAAAAACAAATTCGTCTCCCTGAATTCCCCTTGACACGTTCCATGCAAGAGGAGATTCAGAGAGAAGAAAAGAAGAAAATCAGCCTTCAGAAGACTACATATTCAAAGAAAAAGTCAGCAACCCCAGAAAGCTCATTAGTTGCTGAGGTAGTAAAAAAGTCTGACCCCATGGAAGAACAGGAGCAACTCCAATCTTTAGCCACTCCGCCTCCAATTCTCCCACGCCAGCGGCCAAAGGACAAGGATAGCAAAGGGCAACTATCAGCTCCCGTGGTTGGATTTTTACCCCGACGACGAGGTGCTATTGGTCCTCCTCCACCACCTCCCTTAACTCCTCCTCCTCCACAATCCCCCTTTACCCCTCCTCCACCACCACCTCCTGGTCTTATTGTCAAGTCTGTCCCACCTTTCCCACCCCGTCCTCCTCCACCACCACCACCACCAACATGCCCAGGAGGTCCCCCTCCTGTACCACCCAAACCGGGGGATCGTTTTGATTCTCCCCACCGTCCTCTTAGCGGGGTAGGCCCTACATCTCCACTCCCAACTGACCAGCTTCACCGTAATCTCTTTGGAGTAAGTGCAGCCAAGTTAAAATGTGCCAAGGTGTCGCCAGAACTCGGAAAACCAGAGTTACGTATGCGAAGGAGTCAACGTTCCTTGAAGGAGGAACCTCTTTATGAAATACCGAAGTTAGGTAAGAAGAAGAAGGGTGCAGTTTTAGTTTATCTCTCTATCGTCTTTCCTGTGCAAAAAGACAAAAGACACAGACTTCTTCCAATATCCTCGGTGGTTCATTAGGACGAGGACGGGTGCTCTGTCGGACGAGGCGTTATAGACCGCCACCAAACCTTTGATGATCAGTTTAGTTGGTCAATCAGGCCTGACCAAATTATCGTTACAGAGACGTAACATTAATTATTTTTTTAATATCCCAGGTATACAACATAAGAGGAAACATTCGCTCTCTTTCAGTAGCTTTCTTCTGAAAGTATGGCTAAGGTTTTAAGTTGTTTTTTGGGCAACTGACCGACTCACTACTTGATTGGTTGATCGATCGATCGATCATTCATTCATTCATTCATTCATTCATTCATTCATTCATTCATTCATTCATTCATTGTTTCATTGATACATTGATACCTTGATTCCTTGATTCATGGATTCATTGATTCATCGATGAATCCATCCATCCATGCATTGATCCATCGATTGTTTATTCCTTTCTTTTATTGGCTGGTTCAGTGTCGTTATTTATTTGATTATCTGTTAGTGAGATGCGTTACGAGGTCGCGAGGAGCAAAGATCTCACATAAAGAAAAGATAGAACGGATCTTTTTCAAACAAAGCCCGGTTAGTATTAGGTGATACAAAAAAAACAGTAAAAATTATGTATAATATTTATTATTATATTATAAAATTAGTTGTAGTACCAAAATTTAAATCCTATACGTAAGTCTTGTCAAGGCACGTTAACTTTCATAGATCTCATCCGAAAATGCCGGATTAGTTTTCCGTGAAACCGGAAAGATCGTTTGGCAGCCGAACATTCCCGACCAATATCAGCGTGTAATTACTTCCGAGGAGAAGGCAAAGTCACTTTCGTTATATCCTTGTAATGGTCCTTGATGACGATCGAAGAACCGTGTTGAATTATGAACCCTTCGTTTCCCAAACGTAAAATAGAAATTCTTCCAAACTGAGAGCTTTGATTTCTAACTGAAAGTCTGGAGAAATAGGCCATTTTCGTATTCTCGATATTGGTTTGGAACTGGCTTGGAATGGAGGCTCATGCGGGGGAGTATCATTAAAAAGAGAATAATGTCATTTGCATTTGAAAAGACTCCCCGCATTAACCTCATTTGCAAGCTAGTTCCAGTCCAATACCGAGAATACGAAAACGGTCTAATACATCATCAAGACAATTTGCGTGAGCCTAGCATTTGCTGAGTGATCGCTTATAGAGCTTCCTCGTGTGGTATGTTTCAGGAGGGGTTCTGGAAAGTGGTTGACTTGACTCTCATTGGTATAAACATAAATAGTTTCAATGATTTGCTGGAAAACGCTGGTGCTAGATCTCTTGGTAAGTTAAATTCTTTAAAACTCTTTCATTTTAATCTTGTGATAAAATAGTGCGCGTTAGTTAACAAACCATACAGTCATATTTATTTGATTGAGAAAATCACTCCTTTTCGATTTGCTGGGAGCAGACCAATTTAACGTTCGTTTTTAATGTGCACTGCAGTGCAAATTAACTCGCCCACGTTCGTAACGTTCTCAGTCATACAGTTAACGAGTAATCGTATGAAAGCTCGAACAATTAAGGATTTACTCTACTCGTGATATTTGAAAATTCTTGAAGGTTACACTCGCCTCAGGCTCGTGCAATTTTGAGAGAATTTTCAAATATCATGAGTAGTGTAAATCCTTCAATTGCACTCGCATTTATACAATAACCTACGGTTATCACCCCGACGCAGCACTACCATTTCTTCAGGAGTTTGTGGTGCCCTTTCCCAGTTTTAATCAAACGTAGGACTTAGGTAAAAAAGGAATGAGTTGATTGTGATCTTTATCGTGATTCAGCTTAAGGCCCTCGTTGCGAAGAATTTTCAGCGACTTCAAAAAATGCACAATACCTAAGCTGATTTCTTGGAATGCATCTTTGGCCTTGGTGTACTGAAAATCACTCGGAAAATAATCACAGGGTCCCCACAGGTCAGGAAATGATCAGGGGGAAAAATTCTCCAATATGTCCGGGAAAAGTCAAAGAATTATATTTGAGTCAGGGAAAATTAACAAATTGACGTCAGTTTTTAATGCGTCTGTCCTCTTATTGATGATAAATTGCGTCATAACATTGTCAAAGTGGCTGTGGAACCACGAGCCTGCGGCTCGTGGTTCCGCAGTAAACTTTGACAATGTCATGACGAAATTTATCATCAATAAGAGGTCAGACGCATGAAAAACTGACGTCAATTTTGAAGACGTCAGGGAAAATTGAAATAATTTACATTTTATACGGCTGATTTAATTTCATTATAGGCCGGAAGAAACATTTGGACGGAGGAATTTTCCCAGCATAGTATAGAGTAGAAAGCCCAAAGAAGTAGAAGGCCTCCTGGGGGTACAAATAAACTTGAGCCACGCTTGTAATACGAAATTGCAAGAACTTGTAGGGGTTATTTTAGACGTCCGGACTCGACTGGGATTCCTTAGTGGTAGGGTGGGGGCTAAGGAATGCACAACCGTGTGATTTGTCATTGACGAGCGTTTAGAGTTAAAAATGTTATGACGACCGACTTGTTGCAGGTCCTAAAATATTTGAAGAGGTGCAAAAACTTCTGGCGACGTTGATGATGTTGGCGTTCATAAAGCTAAGACTATGCATCGAGTTCCCACTGCCGCTTCCACCAGGACACGCCTTTGAGGTATGTGCCACTTCGCCGGAATTTTGCGATACGCTACGTTACAATAGGATACGATACAATGCAATACAATCAAAATTTGCTATTTAAGAAAACATAAAAGAAAACGTCAGCAGTTATCCCTTTCGAGGAGGTTGACCACTTGATTATAAGAATATCCAGGCTAACTAAAATTGATAAAATACTATTAAAAATACAATTCCCAACTGAAAGGCTTCAATTTACTTTAAAACGCCCTCTCAATTTATGTCTAAAAATGTTAAAATCATTCTTTTCCACTTTTTCTTTTGGGAGCTCTTTCCACTTAATAATTATTCTGACATTCGAGTGAAGATAGCAATTAACCTTAGCTTTTGGCTGTTTAAACTTTAGTGAATGGTTTCACCTTCGTTTCATATTAAAGAAAAGATTTCAAAGTAGTTAGCGCAGTTAAGACTATTTTCATGAGTAGTCTTATAGCATTCTAGCAGAGACAAGTGAAACCTTCACTCTTGGCTAGTCTAATCAAACATTCTCAGTGTTTCTTCGTATAAAGAGTCCTTAAAAATGTCAAACGTCTCTTGGAAAAAATGGTCGATTCTGCTCGGAATTATGCCGATAGAAAATATCCAACCAAACCTTCGTTTGGATCACAATTGCTGTTAGAATTTTCCGCCATTTACGGCGCGTTCGCACCACGCTTGCTGTTGATTGTTTCATTATTTCCCGCCATTCAACGGTAAGCTTGCTCCACGCTTGCTGTTGATTGGTTCATTATTTCCCGCCATTCAACGATAAGCTTGCTTCACGCGTGCTGTTGATTGGTTTACACTACTCTTCCCAGTAGACCACGACACCCACGAGTACTTTTCCGGTTTTCAGAGTAACGTTTTTTATGTCGCGAGTCTGTTTCAACCAATCAGTTTGTTTCAAATGTACCACGCGATTGGTTTGAAAAAAACACGTGGCATCCAAAACGTCACTATGATTTGGTGGTGCGGTCTGCTGGAAAGAGTAATATATTTACGTCATTAAACAGTACGCTGGCAGCACACTTGCCTTTGATTTCTTCATACTATCCCGCCACTTAACGCCGCTTCCGCAAGTAATTATAATCAATGGTGGCGTACATTTCAAATTTTGCACTGACATTGACGTTTGGCGCAAGTAACTCAGACCGTCGTTTCTTGTTCAAGGTAAACGTTGGTGGTCTGGGAGAACCGTATTCCAAAGACATAGCAAAAGCACTCAAATGGATCAAAATACAGGAAAAGAAGATCCCCCTTCTCTATTCAAGGTTAGAGTTTGGAGCCAACTGGGAAGCCGCCACACAGACAATTGCACAGAAGATGAACATCTAAACGAAAATTTTCGGACAAGCTATATCTTACATTACAGGAAGCAGAAAATAATGTTTTGATTTTGTAGAACACAAGCCATATGATAGGAATCCGGTAGGAACCAAGGATGACTACGGAGGTTCCTGAAAGGGGGGGGGGGGGCGGATATCAATTCCATTTCCCAGACCAAATAGGCCATTTCCGAGTTACCTTGGTAACTCGGAAATGGCCTATTGTGCCTAATGCTCTAATTATCATTTCCTGAGACAATGTTTTTTTCCCAGTTCCAGTGATCCAAATCCCATTTTCCCATCGAAAAAATAAAACAAGACAAATCCCAGTTCCTACTTCACCCCTTCAGGCCCCTCGACTAACGATGGCGATTATATATAGAAATGTTATTCTGGTGACCAGATCTCAGTCTGTTTGAAGCTGAAAGCTTGGTCGTGGGAGAACTGGGTTCGAGATTGGGAGATGGTTACTATATGCACAAACCCGGCGTTTCCTAGTATTCAATTCAAAGAATCATGTTGCTAGCACCTATTTTAAGGGAACATTGTGCGTTTATTATAGTCTTGGTCAAAACCTTGTAACTGTCCTGAAGCTTATCTTAAATTTACTAAACTAAGGTGATTAAAAGACAGAAATAATATTAACTGAAAACTCAGAAAAACATCCGCGTTCCAGATGTGGATGAACTCACGACCCCCCCTACTGGGTCTTTAAACTTAAATATTAGTAAAGAAAAATGAATAATTGTTTTATAAGCAATAATTGAACGGTGCCATTGTCGAATGTACGTAAAAATATCTCATAGGATTAACTACAAGTTGCATAGCATTGGTCAACCTTACATGCTACAAGCTGTTTGTCAATTTAACTTACGTCAGTCCAATGTTAAACAAGTCCAAAACTGTTTAATGCAAAGTATATATACCTCACTGCTAGCATATACACGCCAAATGGAAAGCATGCAGAGAAAAGCTCTGTTTTAAAAAGAGTGACACTCTGGTATAGGAAGTAGTTAAACCTGAACAACAGTTTTGTTTCCACTCTTTACACTCCGCGTCACTGTTAGGACACTTGAGCGGGATAAAGTTCATTTTTTGCTGGTCAATCACGGGTGGTCTTCCCCACGCTGTCCACTCGTTTCCCCGCAAATTGCTTTAGAAAAAAACTTTAACGTGCCAGAAGCCAAGTACTTTGAGCATCGGCACTTGTTTCCCCTAGATTAACAGTGGAAGAAAAAAGTGTCCCAGCAATTGTAACGAGGAGTGTATGTGGCTGATCGCATGAATGTGCCTTCTCGGCTTGTTATACCCATTTGCCGAATTACCACCACCACCAGCCAACGTAAAAAAAGGTTGTGATAAAATACAGTGAAACCTGTATTAAGCGGACCCCATACTAAGCGGACACTCTCTATTAAGTCGACACCACCTTGAGTCCCAAAATTTACTTCCCACATCAGTTTACTGTAAAATAAACCCGCATTCAGCGGACACCTCTTTTAAGCGGACGCGGACACCAGTATTAAGCCATTTTGTTACACAAAACCTGCAATAAGCGGACACTTCAGGGGCTTTTTATTTCTCAAACCTCAGTTCAGACACCTTTAACATTTTTCAGCGACGTCGTTTTAAAGCTAAATAGATTATTCCACATTGATGCATTGATAGCAGCCTTTGATCTCACACTGTGTTACGCTGTGTTACGGAAGGGTTACTAATTAACTATTATTGCACGATAAATTAGAACCTGCTTAGAGCGGATACCCTGTAGTAAGCGAACACTAGTGAGTGTCCCAAGGGTGTCCGCTTAACACAGGTTTCACGGTGATAAAGGTTGTTTCCCAATACAGTATTTTCGCAGTATTTTGTCTCGATAGAACGATAACACATTCATCTTCACGTTCACAACACAGGATTTTATTGAACGTCTTCACAGTTGAAAATCAAAACGATACTCAAAGTTATGTTTGAGGTCCCGCCCACACCGCGCCGGAGGAATTCGATTCTACGGTTAGGCGTATCCGTCATGAAAACGGAACTTTTTGAAACCGCTCTTCAAACCGGAGGAATTTGAAAACGCTGGCTTTTCGTTTTCGTGTGGGCAGAAACATATTGAAAACGGAACTTTAGAAAACGATGACCTCACGATATCATGTGATTTCCCTGTCGGTGTTTTTTCAAACTCAAATCCAAAATGACCGGTGATTGTTACGTTGTCAAATTCGTCCGGTGGCGTAGTGTGGACGGGAAACATTTGATGCGTTTTCAGAGTGAAACCGCCGTTTTTAAATTCCTCCGGCGTGGTGTGGTTTGCGCAACTGTTCGATTTACTTTTAATAAACAATTATTGTTATTAATGTCCCTAAAATGTTGCTTGAAGAGTGAACTACCGATCAAATTCCCACGTGAGCTTGCGCAAACAAGTCTGTCTCGACTCTGTCGTGAGAGTGAATTTGTTTGCTGTGCACTTCAAAGCTAAGATCGCAATTAAATCGGCATGAAATGAAAAACAAAGAACACTTTGTACACGTTGTTTACGCAATCGATTGAAATCATTTGTTGAAAAAGCGCGACATCGCAAGCTGTTTACGAAGCTCCTCGATTTGTTTTTCCTTAGTTGTCAACCTTTTGTGGATTTCTTGTATGACCATTTTTCGTTCCTCGCTTATCCTTTTCTCATGGCTCGCTTCTTGTTTGAGTTTCTGAACTAAAGCTTCAAGCCGTGTTAGATTAGCGACGGCGTTGTTTCTCTCGTTTCGCAGTTTCTCTGTCTCGTTGAGAATCACGGCTTTGCTCTGAATTTTTTCTAGCTCTTTCACTTCTTTAACTTGTTTGGTCTTGTGGCGAAGTTTTGATTTCAGTTCGTCGACGGCCATTTCGGCCACAGACTTGTTATTTATGGCTTCAGCTCGATCGTAAGACATTTTATGGATAAACTCGTTCAGTCTTTTCAATTCTTCATCTTTGCCGCGAATAATCTGTCCCCAGTTCTCGGTGTGTTGAAGCTGAAAAAGATGTTCCCTTAATTCTTCGTTCTCTTGGGAGACAGCGAGCACTTTGCCTCTCGCCTCCACCAGTTCGCCTTGAATCTTTTGGCTTTCTCTCCGCAAAACATCATTCTCTTCTCTAATTTCAAGGTATGCTTTGTAGATGATTTCGTATTCTTTAGCATTCGGTCGCTTGGGAGCTTTCTTTATTGGTTCCTCGATGGTGTAAATACCGTTTTGAGTGAATGTACCTTTTGTAAAGACGTGACTCGTTCTCCTTGAGCCAGCCACGGCTGGTGTAAACCCTGACGAATCAGAAACCCTGTACTCCATGTCGCCGAAGGAACACTCACACTGAAGTTGTAAACAAACGCCTGTAATTGCACTTTGCTTAAGTCCGTCTTTTTGACAGTTAATAAAATTCCTTTTGTTGAATAAAGTGCAACGTGAAATTAATGCAAACAAGTAGTTTGGCTTGCCTTTATGACGTCTCTTTTTGTATTCAAAGTGGGTTGTGTACAGAAGAAAGGCAAACAAACGGCTTTGGAAATTGGATTGCTTAAATATCGGTAATTAATTAAACATTTCATGAAGTTGACATTGAATGGAATTCTCGCTAAAAGCAACATTACTAAACTCCTTTCGCATGCGACGATGAGGACATGGGATACAAAGTTGTAACAACATTTCGAAGGAGCTGTTTTAAAGAAAGTACTGCCTGTTCGAGAGAGGCGGAAAACTCATACAATCGCACTACAAGTAAACGTTTTTGAACTTACGTTAACTTTTGAAATAACGCAATCAGGATGTTTGCCTTGCCTTTTGGCATGTGTTTCAGTTTGTAATAATCAACTGTGCGCGGCGCTGGCTGTGTACAGAAGAAGAGCAAATGAGCTGCTTTACTAATATTGATTGGTTAATTGGTAATTAAACACTTCAAGAAATTGACCTTGAAACAGGCACTCGCTCTAAGCAACACTAAAATAAATGTTTACATGTAATATCTCGAATCACTCGTTTCACGTGTGAATAAGCGAGCACCGTGTAAGACAAAATTTGCAAGGAAACGAGTTTAAAATTTGTTGCCCATGTAATAGAAAGAGGCGGAAAATCAATCACTACTATTGAGGCCTTTGTTCCCTTCAAACCGACTTTCAAAAGGAAACAGCAGAAATTTCCTGTAGTAAATGGACAAATTGGTTATTGTAAAAGTTTAAATATAGCTTCGTTGCCTTTCCAGCCAATCAAACTTCCAACGACTGCATGAAAAACTAATTAAAATCTCTATTGCCTTGAGCTACTATTCTGAGCTTAGCTAAATTTAGCGATTTCGTTTTCCCAAGAGTTAGCGAAATTAACTTCCATTTCAAGACTGAACGTATCAGGGAGACATCAGTCTACACTCATTGGTTACACTGGTTTTCGTGATCTCGACTGAAAGTTCAAAACGAATTCACAGACAAAATTCAAAATCGTGGTTATTTCGGTCACCACAGGAAGGAACGGGCGTAGCGTCTTATAACGGTCTTAAATCTTTCAGTCTCTTAATATCGAGACAAGCATAAAACCATTCAGCATAAAAGGTTATTTCTAGAAATCCTTAAACTTTCAGGCATTTTTACCTTTCACACTCGGGCAGTTTTTCAAAATTTTTAGCAAGCAGATCGACTAGCCAACGAAACTTTTTGTCATACCGTAAAATCCGTAAAAACGCTTCTTGATGAGCTTAGTTGAGGGTGGATTTAGCTTTGGAGGTTATCATTATTATTAAATGTCATTGGAGCTCCAAGAATGGTCGGGCGTTTTCCAGACGCTAAGTCCCTTAAGTAAAGGAAAAGTGCTGTGTCGCAAATAAGTTCACAATCATCGGACGAAACGAAAGTCTCTGAAATATCGTATACATAAACAAAACAAAATATCACCTACAGCAGACGGAGTGGGCAAAATCTTATCATATTTTCATAAGAATTAAACTGCAATTTATAAAGGCTTATTGAAAGGAATACCGGTAGCGGAAGTATTTTCGGGAGTGGCGGGTATTATTGGAGTCTTTCCGTATTCTTGTACTATGATAATTTTTTTGTCCAACACAAGAGAAAATAAAACTTGGCACGAGAAACTGGCTGTTTATTTGTAATATCGTTGCCAGTGTAACTTTGCAGGAAGGTTTTCTGTTCATACGTATTTTGTGTCCTTCAAACCCTGCTTTTATCCAGGAGAAATTCAGAACCTCCACCGACTTAGGGATAATCCGAGATCTTTTCCAACACCCAGCCCCAGATTTTCTGCTAAACAAGCCAGAGAGCTGGATAGGGCTTGCTCTGATTATGTGAATAGAAGGCGGCTTCTTTTGCTGCTGTTTAATTTCTTCACAGGGATGACACAAGTAGTAGCTGTAGCCAGGAAAGAACCGCTTGTCACAAGTATACTTATGTCACCGCCTTGGCCAATAACACTTTAAAAGGACCTACGTCATGGTTTGCGCGTCCGTTGAATAGTTTGACCTAAATTTTTCAAGTTTGTAATCCGTTTATAATCCGTGTTAATCTTCACCATTCTTGACCATCCTTGTTCCTTTATGGTTTATATTATTTCCTTGGTGATTTTCTATTTTACTAAAAAATTATTTACAGGTTTACTTCGATTTAAAGTAAATTTTGTACGTGGTCAAATTATCTCAAAACACCTTGACTGAACTTCTTTAACTTTACTTAATTTTTAAAAAGTACACGTTAAATAAACATCAAGCCCCTTCGCGATCGGTTGTCTCCAAGAAAGTTCACTCCTACCCACATCCGCAAGAAAAAAGAAGCAAGCGACCCTCTCCCCCACATAAACTCTGCAAAACAAAACCAATAAAGGGGTTCCTTTTTAATCGCACTGCTATTTCAAGTCCGATCATAAATGCAGACTTAAGAATCGGAGCCTGTGAAGGATTTGATAAATCAACTGACTGCTAATCTTGGAAAATGGAAAGGTAACGGTAAGTTAACTCAAGGACAGAACCCCACGAGTTCCATTTGCACACAGTGACACGAAAACCCTCGCTCGTGTCACCTCACGTATCTGTAGCCACCCGAATAGAAATAGGTTATCCAACTGCTTGTGACTTTCAAAAATTAGTTGAACGGAAAGCCATCAAAACTGCCAAGGGGGACAGGGATTGTGATTCCATGATTTGAATAACCATCGAGACAGATATCGCTTGTTCTTTGGCGGTCACACCAAGGAGATCCCGATGATAGTCACTTTTTATTATTTGGCTGAACTGATTGGTTCCCTTCACGGTCCGAATTTTGCAATACGGACCTCCGAGGTGTACCGCTCACAAATCAAATTCGACGAATTGCTTTTTCAGTTCATTGCAAAAAATAAAGTTTTTTTTGAGTGGAAATCTTTTTAATTTCATGTCTGGAGGGAAAAGCGACGTGTGAAAAGTCAATAAAAATTTACCTTTCGCACGCGCGGTTACCGAGGATGAATCGCGGAAACCTATTAATTTAGCAGCAGATCAACAAAAGCCCTAAGATTATAATAAATACTGAACTGAACTAGCTTATTCGGACCATATCGGAGAATATTGCTCTCGTTCCTTCTTTCTTTCTTTTTTTTTTTTTGCCAAGATTATGCCAAGGTTCCATAAACCCGCGAAACAATGAACGAGACCAATATTTCTCTAATACGGACCTCACGCGAGTTCGATAACAAACATATACTGTCATGCGCCCTGTGTTATATAAAGTTTTCAAATCTTCTTTGAGCGAGCCAATGAACCGGGTTGGGCGTTATTTGTTTCCTGGTAACGTGTTCTTTCACCAAGAACGCCAATACTTGATTGTTAGATGAGGAGAGCTAAATAGTGAATTTTGGAATAATTGCGAAATGCCAAAAAAAAACTGACTGGAAAATATGAAGCTATAGCTATTTAATCAAATCTCAAAACATTTTCTTACGCTTTCTGTCAGTCAAAAATTATTTCTCCGGCAAGAAAAACCACAAAATATAACACTGTTTAATAATGTCTGTGCCAGAAACGTCGCATCAAGATGCTACTAATATCATTTTTTATTCATGCAGAATGTGTAAACGAAATAAAAACTAACAATCAAGAGCACAAAAACTTCTGCCACCGAAAACAGGTGAAATACTGTTTAAGTTGCGAAGTTGACAAGTTATTCAGCTGGAATTAAAATCAAAAACAAAAAATTTAAACACTTTAAAAGAAATCATGACATTTTAGAATAACTAAACATGATTATCAGACACTTATACGAGGGAAATAAGAAAAGAAGTTTACAAATACATCTTGCAGCTGAAAGGAACAAAATAATTATTCCTCAGTAATCAAATTTAGAAAGTCTGTAAACAAATGCGAAACATTGCCTTTCACGGGTGATCTCCGGTAGAGAAACTAGCTGCATCTTTAAATAAAAATCACTTCTTCTTCTTCCTTTCTCACCATCACTGTCCTCAGAAATTCTAAAATATTGTCCGGATGGACGTTAAGTTTAAGCAGATCGGCAATGTGCTCGAGCACTTTTTTATCCATTTTCACGTTCGTCGTCTCTAACAATTGAAACAGATCATCAAAATAAGCTGTTCTTTCTTTGGCTTGTGATTTTTCGCGTTCCGTCGTCAAACTCGACAAAGAAACTTTCAAGTTCTCGGCCTCCACCCTGAGCTCTGTGATGTCCTTTGACCGGCGTTTTTTCTGCGTCGATAGCTTGCTTTCTGTTGCCAGTCTCGCTGTCGAGGCCCTATTTTTGTCCGTAACTTCGGCTGATTGCATCTTCGATTGTAATCGGGACTTAAAAATATATCAATCTTGTTACAATGCTGCTCTTTTTGCAATAACTGACGCAATCTACTCAGCTCTATTTGGTGTTGTTCTTTGTCACGGCTTGCAGTGTAAAAACAAGCAGTTTAAACCTCGTTGGATGATTAAATCTTTGCTGATATTTTGTTGGCAGGAAAATACGCTTCCAAACTCCGCTAAGATTAGTAATTTATGTACACAACCGGGTTTTAATTTGAATTTTAATCGATTTTGCTGGCTCATGTAAGTAACAAGTTTTTAAATAGCTTAGCAACACACGCGCGGATATTTTACGACTTGGATTATTTCTTAGTAACGTTGTATTCAGCTGAAATAACTGACCCCATTCAACTTCTATCAATGGAAAACTCATTTCATCATCCCTGAGTAATATTACTTAAAATTAATTGAAATGTCATGCACATAAAACGGAAAATGCAACACATTAGTGCAGATTTAAGGGCCACTGTTTTGATCAGTAGAACTACGTAATTTACAACCCAGAATATTGGCATCTAGTATTTCCACTTGAAGACTATTTCTATTACTCAGAACGTGGGCATTATTACATGTAAACCTCGATATCTGCTTTATTTTATTTGTGTAAAACTGCCGGACGTTCAAGTGATGTACCTCCAGTACAGTGGAACCTCGATCTAACTAACCCCTATATAACGAAGTCCTCGATATAACGAACCCCTATATAACGAAGTCAGAAGTCCTCGATATAACGAACGTTATTCTTCGTCCTAGTAACAGTACAGTATATGGAAAAGACACCCGATTTAAGGTAACCTCGCTATGACGAACAGATTTTTTCAGTCCCTTGTCCTTTCGTTATATCGAGGTGGTATCCGGTCGTTTACCGGCCCCCAAGTCGATTAGCTCCTAACCGGTTAGCACCCAACCAGAAGTAAAAAACACTGTCTATTTCTCGTTCTTTAAGCGTTAATGAGGGCTAATAGATTTTTGGTTGGGGGCTACCTGGCTAGGGGCCAATCAACTTGAGGGCTGAACGAGCCGTAACCATCGAGGTTCCACAGTATAAAAGCAATCTTAGTTTTTCCGGCGTCTTCTGGTCTTCTGCAACTAAGAGTAATATCTTACTGTGATTGCAGTTTACAGTGAGTGGCTTTTCATTTTGAACCCGTTACTTCCGCCACTTTCACAACTTGCTTTCCAATATTTCCACCACTCATCATATCAACAAATGCTCTACCAGTATTTTCAAGGCCCTCCACGATTGTCTCGCGATTTTTTAGCCTTCCCTCTCGTACCCAGGTTTCTAGTTGTTTCTTTCCATCCGGGAACTTTTCCATGTAACTTATTACCTGATAACGATCACGTGTTATATTTCTGTCTTTCAGTATGCATTGAATGTCCTGGGGGATTGGTGGAGGATAAGGAACATCTTCGTTGTAGACTGAGATTTGCCCGCATAAAACAACATGGCTGTCCTCATTCATGCAACGAATCACCTGGAATAAACAAGGGTTAATACTTAGCTCTTATTAATCGAGGTGCAGGTCTGTATGGGAGAATCTTGACCGAGGTCGTGAGTACAGACCGAACGCAGTGAGGTCTGTACACACGGCTGAGGTCAAGATTCTCCCATACAGACCGACTTAGCTCGGTTAATAAGATGTTTATTATATGGCAAAGAAGAAAACTTTAATTCGTTTAATGTAACTGG